TGTACAAACTGCAGGCAGTCACAATTAAGAGCGCAACAGGCAGCAATTCACAAGAGATCGGCACAGTGCTATTAGACTCGAGGTCAGTGGGAGTGAATGCGAGAGATAGAGAGCGACGGAGAGAGAAAGAGAGAGATCACTTCAGTAAGTTGGCTGGTCTTTCCTGACCACTATTGGCACCAGAGAAAATTGGTCACCTCACTTGGTTTTCACTGCTGTTGTGATATTCTGAAGGAATGTACCTCTTATGTTCTCGACTATTCTCCCCTTGCCCTTGTCTCTCCCGTCCGCTCAAAGGAGCTTGCTGCAAGGCTTTTCATTTCACTGGGGTCTGGTTCCCCAGACATACGTCTCAGCCCAAGTCAGCTGTAGCTTTCAGCTGTGAATGGTGGCAGGCTAAAACCTTGGCTAATGCAAAGGGAACCCAAGGTTTATCCAATTGTACTGGTTACCAAACCTGAGCCAGACCCTGTACTCAACCCAATCTCCTGGATGGTACAAACACACCTTCCAGTGGGAGGGGAGCAGGTGTAAAGTGACCACTTTGGCGAGGACCAAAATGGATTAGCACAAACAAGCCTCGAGCGCAGGAGAACGGTTACTGACTGTGGTCGTTTCAGATGATCGGGAGCGACACAGAGGGGAGTAAAAAATAAAGAGACCACAAAGCAACTCCTTCCGAAGAGGCTACATCCATCAGATGGGACATCTCTCGGTTGAATTACAAAGCACTTAATAGCAAATATTTCAACGCAGTCGCTTTAATGTACACATTCTCTTTGAGAACGAAGAAGAAAATACAAAATAGTGCGATTCATTTTCAAGCCTTGCCTCAAAATCAAGGACCGGGGTGACCGCTCACCTACCCGTCAGCTTTAGCTTCCAAAGGCGGAATCCCTGAAGTGTTTCAACCAGCTTTACAGTGAAGCCTGTTCCCCCACCTCCTGCACTCTCACGCACAGGTCCCGTCCAGCACAAATGCATGGTTTGCTGGAAAGGAATTACAAGGCTGCAAGCCAGAAATGACTTGACGTCAACCAGCATTCAAACAACCATGTTTCACTGACACTCGGAATCCAACACGCACAGAATAAAGTCTTCTCTGCCCCGTTTCCCTCTCCCTCCCTCCCTCCTTCCCTTCCTCCCCCCTTGAAACTTTGGCAAAAGCAACCAAGCGTAAAGAGAGCACAGTATAAAGCCTGGTACAATATAGGAAGAGAGGTAAGTCGGTAGGCGCAGTGTACAAACTGCTGAGAGCGGAGATTAATCACAGCTTTCTCTCCTCTTTTGTTTAAAAAACAGTTCACATCACCATTGGTACACACGTCGGCTCATTCGGTTTAAGAGTGCAAGTCCTCCGCACTGCACACACGGTGCTTCAATTAAGACGCGGAGGCCGACTTAAAACAAAGGGGGTGCAGGACACAAACGCGCACCTCTGCTGTCTTACCACAAGGGGGCGAACCAGTGCCTCGCCATTTCGACGTTCTGCCACTTTCAAATTACCCCAAAAAATTCAAACTGCGCTAAAGTTCAGCGCTCCCGAGACGCTACCCCACGTGAAGGGAGTTGTATTTTTTGCAACGCCAAAACGGCCGACTTCCAGGTCATCAGGTCAGAGCAAATAGTTGTTTTAAAATCTATGATGGATTCTGCTGCAACCCAATTGTGGACCCGCATTGCCATGTCCCAGTACTGTGAAACACATGAAAAGAAAAGTGTCCAAAATTCTCCCTTTGCACTTTTCTGGGGGCAGCAAGTAATCCTAAATTAATGCTCTTTGACATCATCCCAAGGGCAGGGCGATAAGCCCAGAGCAGCAGGCAAGCCCGTTTGTGGTGAGACGGTTTATTCACGATATAAAAATACACGACATAAATGCAAAGCTGCTGTTGTTGTTGACGACAGTAACACCAATCAATGGAAGAATCGCGCGCTCTTCACCTGGTCAGGATCGGTGGAAATCGGCTTGTAACGTTTCCGATTTTCTTCAGATAATAGGCTGTTTCGCGCTGCTAAGGAATGTAAGGTAAAGCCAGGACTTAGCGTACCATATACCATGTGCTGTACAGAAATACATAGGGATCTCTCTCACCCGTGCCCAGGTAAGGTCATCTCCCTTTGAATTTGAACAAGGAGCTTTCCCCCTCATCTCCCCCCCCCCACCCCCCACCCCACTGTCCTCTGACATTTTCAGAAACAAACGACAAAGACATTACAATCACCCACTTAGACATTTATAGGATACAGGAAAGAACTTGGGAGCCTCTGGAACATCCTCCCTCTACCAGTCCGTCTCACACCCCTCTCTTTCTGCCTTTAAAACCCTGCCTCAAGTCCTAACTCTTTAAACAGGCTTATGGCCACCACTCTCGCTCGGTGTCCGAGCCTGGTCAGTCACTGCAAAGCGCTCTGAGACTTTTCCCTATGTGAAGGCCGCCGATTAAATGCAAGCTTTAGTGAATGGGACTCCGTGACAGTCCCCAGTCTCTTCAGAAAAGCTCAAAAGGGAGTACGGAATCAGTGGCAGGATGGGAAGGCAGTTTTAATTGTTGGAATGAGAGAAGCTGGAATTGAATTCTTAATAATTAAGACCTTTAATGGTTAACAGAGCTGAGCGAGTGAGTGGGAGAGAGAGAGAGAGAGAAAAAGGACTGATTCATCTAAGGCTGAGGCCCGTGGAATCATAGCACACAATCAGTTACAAACCTACGAACGGTCATTTCCATTCCACAAGGAAATTCCTAGTTTTCGCTTGGGCTGTAACCCAGAAGCCAAGCTGCAAAATATGTGCAAAATCTATGCTTTGAATCAACGGGAAGTGCATGCGGATGATCGCACCGCCTTGCGAAGGAAAAGGTAAAGGATATTTGTAAAAAATAATTTTAAAAAGATTTTAAACCTGATTTATTCAAAAAATGTGCAAATTAAGACAGCGGCTTTTGTCTTGCGTTTTCACAGCTTCCCACCAGGCCTGAAAAGACCATCATGTTAGCATCAGGGAGGACTTTATAGTCTCAACATCGCAAAAACACCTCTAAAGTGCTCACACTGTATAGGCGATTGTCCTACTTAGAAGACGCTGTCCAGAAGACTTGAACGGAACAGAGAAGGAACTGAGGTGCTCTGCACTCAGAAATACACTGATTTCTGGCCCACAATGTTTTTAGTGGCAATTATCTGATTGGCGGAAGCGCACATGAAAGTCAAGTTTCAGACACCTTGGGTTTGAAAGCAGTCCATAGGAGAGTGCGCACTGCACCTACCTATCATAACCAGCCAGTCTCGGTCAATGCCCACCCACCCGCAACGTGTGAATCGAGACAGAATTCAGTGTGGTCAGTCACTGACCTCCTCAATACAATTTAACCACGCAATTACCCTCTGAAGGACAGATGGTGCAGTGGCTGTGAATGTTAACACTTGCGTGAGTGAGGCAAGGTGTGTGACAATGTTTTGCTAATCAGGGTTCGAGCACAAAGCTCGAAACTAAGTGCCCGTCGCAACACAGCACCTAAAATGTGAGTATTACAACGCGTGGAAGAGGAGTAGCGGCTCAATCTCTGTCACAGTGATCCTCTCATCTCGATTAAGCGCACTCTACGCAAATAAAAAATAGAATCTCAACACCGATAAAACAGTGGGGAAGTACTGTCCCTTCCACCCAAAAGTGGGTCGATTTTTAAGGTTCAAACGAGGATTTGCTTATTGTCACAATTCTGATTAAAGATAAATGCAAACCCGTTAAAAACACCGAAACCCCACGAACCAGACGACTTCTCCTCCGCTCCCATTATTCCAGGTTAGAGAAGTGTCACTTTTACTCCCCACTTGCTTACCATTAATATACAATCTGCATTCCAAAAAACACTAGTTAACGATCTAATCACAGTATAACGATTTCCGATATTATTCACATTGTTTTCTGGATTCTTAGTACTATACTCTATAGGATCAACCCGCTATCTCATTTTCCCTGAAGACAGAAAAGGTTTCATTTTCCTATCACCCTTTCTTGTAACCTTCTCTTACAGTAGTAGCTAATGTCACTGTAATTTTTGCCTGGCGGGGGAATAGAATTAAAGAATCTTACAGCACAGGAGGCCATTTGACCCATCGTGCCTGTGCCTGCTCTTTGAAAGAGCTTTCAAACTAGTCCTACTCCGCCATTCTTTCCCCATAGCCTTACAAATTCTTCCTTTCCAATTCTCTTGAAAGTTTTCATTGAATCTGCTTCCACCACCCTTTCAGGCAGTGCATTCCAGAGAGTAACAACTCACTGCATAAATTCCACCCCCCACCACCACCCACCTCATCTCAATCGGAGATCGCGTTAAAACTTCTGAGCTGCACAAACTGCAAACCGCTCAATCTGCAGCGGAAACCAATCGCCCATTGGAAACCTTGACTTAACTTCTTAACGGCTCAAATCTTAATGGGTCCGCTGTGCTTACCTCAAAAGTCAAGTATTCCTTTGCAAACACCTCCTTGCTACCTTTTAAAAACAGCAACCGATTCAGCTTAAGAGAGCCGCTCTCAATCAGGCTTTTCCTCTGGGCAAAGCTCTACACCCGGGGTTTTGCCCTCAAATGAGTTCATGATTCCGGCCAAACACGCCTTATGTTGGCTGCCGGCCGGCAAGAGATTCAACCGCGTCGGTCGCGAGGCGTCTCACCGGAAAAGCAGAGAGAATCTGAACCTATTTTTCTTCACAAAATAATCAGAAGCAGTGAATGAAGTCCTGGGATGTTTCCCAGTCTAACCAGCAACTCCACGCTGCGTGCTTCCGTGGTAAATAAAAGTTCCTCTCCTCTCCCAGCTTCTCTTTTCCCTCAACATTGTCGCTTCCCCACTTTCTAAAGGTTGAAGAGTTGGGGGGGGGGGGGGGCAGTAAGATCAGTGACCCCAGCTTCAGGTATTCTGTTCCTTCTGAGATATCCGCCGCTCCAGGGCGGAAGGGGAAAGAAAAGGCCCCTTTCCCCCTCCCCCACCAACCCCCGAAACAGACGCAGATGGAACGGCGAGGAGTCAGCGGCCCAGCGAAAAGATGAAGTCGAGAGCTTGGCGTTCGGTGGCAGCCACGTTTGGGTGCCACAAGTCAGCCATGAAGATCACCCGCGGTCCGTCCTCGCTGGAGCCTGCAACCAAAGCAGACGGCAATAATATCAACAATAATGATCCTTGCCTTTGATTCCAGCGCCTTATCAAGTCGCTGAGTCTTGCATTAACTGTATATTTTGTGGGCGAAACTCGGCACAGCAGAGCCCCACAAACTGTCATGGAGTGAGTGAATGGTGAATGGCCTTCTTCTGGGCTGCAAGATTCTATGATTCTATCCCAACCCCCGCGCCCCCCCACCCCACCCCCAACCTCTCCCCCCCCCAACTCCACTCCAAGTTTACAGACCACCAAGATGTCATTTTCCCACCTAATGTGCCCCAAACCTCTGCTCAACATCACTACCCCTTCCTCTCTGCTCAGGCCTGGCTCAGGTTTGGTCTGAACCAGAATTCGATGTGAAACCAAACACTTCCCCCATCCCCCACCAACATCTGGAGACAAGGCCGACCGAAGCCAAATGCTCCCAGGGAGGGGATGAGCCAAGACGAATCGTCCGCAGAAAACACAGCGCACGAAAGCGACGGGCGTTAACAAAACATACACTTGCCTTTGTGGTACGCTGTGTGGAGGAAGGAATCGTCAAACAGCAAACAGCGGCCTTCTGCCCAACACTGTGGCTCACCTCCTACAACCAGCTCACAGTTACTGGGAACCTTCAAACCTGTAAAAGAGGGAAATCGCAGTAACAATAATCATAATAAGCCCTGCATTTGATATAGCGCCTTATCAAGTCGTTGAGACGTCTCAATGTCTTAAGCTCTTCAATCACCTCTTTGTACAATCTATCTATCGCTCTCTTACAAGTACTGAGCACTAAAATTACAGGCACTAATGCATTAATACGTTCAGCGGTCATCAAGTATCTGCCTGGATAATGGCACAGAGTAGGCGTAGCAACAGATGAATGCAACTGCAAGAGGTTTAGTTTGAAAGCTGCGTGACTCACTCTGTGTTTCAACACTTTTGCTACAAGTGAGGTACAGCCGATTAATGGGCAAACTTCTAAGGTTTCCAACTAGAGGGTGAAATTTGTAACTGACTCAGTTTAGTTATACCATATTCGTCCCAACACTTTAGAACACCTCACTTTTGATCACCTTTGCAAGGGATTTTGTTACCAAAAGGGTGCTGCATAAATGCAAGTTGTTGAAGTGCACATGATGGGGGCCATGGTCTCAACCCAATGCACTTATTTTGCAAATATTTAGAGGGGATCACCGTGACATCTTCCTCTGTCGTTGGCTTCTAGCTCACACTATCTGGGCACATCTACTGACAATCACCCACGTGACCTGTATCGAGTAATAATAATAATAATCCTTGCACTTGATGTAGCGCCTTATCAGACATCTCAAAGCGTTTCACAGGATACACTGCCAAGTGAGTGGACTGTGTATTTCGTGGGCGAAAGTCAAGGGATCAGAGAAGCTCACAAACCTAGATGGCACCTGATGCGGACATTGGTGGGGCCGTAGTGCTCGGTAATCAGCGTGTCGGGGCTCAGCACGGAGAAGCAAGCATTCCCGAAGACGTTGTTGCCGATGAACGTGCGGAGGCTGCTCAGCAGGCGGTACGTCCGAGGGCACTTCCTGCAGTTACTGGGGAGGCAGCCGCCCTGGTTGACCAGGTAAAAGGTGAACCATTCCCCCCTGGGGGTGCTGTTGACCTTCCAGCCCTGTGGCAGGTTGCAGTTTGAAAACGCCTTGTAAATGGCCTCAAACTCCGACAAGATAACCTGGTAGTTCCGCTCAGGAGTTCTGCGTCGTGTTTCTGGGCCTCCCGGGAGAAGAAGGGGGCGGTGGGCAGGTCAGGGAGGAAGAAGACTTCTGGTTTCTGGATGGAGGGCCTGTTGTTGAGGTAGCGTCCCTGCTCCCGGATGCCCTTGTGGATTCGGCCCATCCCTGACCAGGAGTAGTGCTTGGCGTACTCCTGCAGATTGTGGTAGAGTTTCTGATTGCGGCCCTCGTTGTGGGTACAGCGGATGCAGTGGGCGGACTGGCAGTGGGTGTAGCCGTTGGGCAGCCCGTTGGCGTTGACGGCCGTGCCCTGCATCATGGCGTTCACCGTGGCGTAGCTCCGAGGCTGCTCGCTGCCCACATGGTAACAGTACCACACGAAGAGAGCCAACAGGCAAGTCACCGTGCCCAGCGCTGTCACATCGCACTCCCTCACTGCCTGCAAGCTGCCTAGCACCAAGTCCCTCATTCGCTCCAGGTTCTGATCCCAGTATATAAACCACCGGAGGAACATGTTCTCCCTGGCTCCGAGAGGCAAGGCAATGTTGTCAGTCCCCGAGTTCTGCAAGGGTACCCACACCATGCAATGCAGGGTGAGTGATTCCTAAGTTGAAGAGAGCAGCCGTGGTCTAATTGGCAGGCAAGACGGCATTTTGGCTTCCGGGGAACGTGTTAGCAGCCAGCAAACATTTAGTGTGTCTGAGCGTCTGACAGAATCACGTGCACACATCACCCACGATCAGCCTCGCTGTGTACCGAGACAAACCCCCACGTGCTTTGATTCAGATCATTACTTTAGGGAGAGTCTGGTTGTAAATCATCATCGGCGGAAGCCCGAGGTTCCTGTAAGTGAGAGCACATAGAAAGAGAGAGAGAGGGAAAGAGATGATTATCTCTGAAATAGATCCGATTAAAAGATGATAAAGTATGACATTATACATTTCATTTAAAATGAAGATTCACAGCATTTCGCTGTCAGCTAGTTGAACCTCCTGCAAGTTCGCTGCTGTTCAGTGGGGAGCCTTTTTTTTTTGGTCAGTCGGATGTCTTGACACGTACGGATACCCATCACCGAGCTCAAGTCTCCAAACCAAACCGAGAATTCCAGGCATCCCACCTACGCATGGAAATCCCAGATAGGTTGTTGGAATGGAATGCGCTCTCGCTCTCTCTCCCTGGAGGGACAGATCCTGCTTACCTAATTTCGGAAAGTCTTAGGCGCAGGTTGGTAAGAGCCGAGGCTTGGGGGGGGGGGGGGGTTGGGGGGGGAGCCCAGACACTGAAGACTGAAATCCTGAAACAATGAAGGAAAGGTGTACGGAATTTGTTGGAACTACAGTAGTAGGTAAGTGCACCAGTTTTTTGCTGCTGTCAGTTTCAACTGTGCTCAACACCCACCGCAGAGCACACTTTCAGGGCCCATTAGTGTGGGAGGCGAATGATAAGCACTTCCAGGATAATTTACAAGTACACTGTTCAAAAAAACAAAGCTATTCGGTTCAGAGGTGTATTGTTGTGATCTCCGTTTCAATAGCTGGGCCACGTTTGAGCAAACATTAACAGGCCTGCAATCAGACTGAACACTGGGTATAAAGGGAGGGGAGGGAAAGAGAGACAAGAGAAGGGAATGGTTTTAGCCTTTGTTCCCCAAGCAATCCTACCCCGGCTCCTAAAATGACATCGGGAGAAGCTCCCTTTTCTTTTCGGTCAGCGCCACGGGATCGTTAACATCCACCTGAACAGACAGACGGGGCCTCGGTTTACCATCTCATCTGAAGGACGGCACCGCTAACAATGCAGCGCTCCCACCAGCACAGCCTCCACGACGTGATAAAAGACGCTGTGTCAAACGCAAAATTATTCTGTGAAGTCACCACCCGGCACCTCGCCCTTCCTTTGTTTCTTCATCCTTTGAAGACTATGAGCTGCCTTGTATCTCACATCATGACCCTAACACATCTCTACAATTCTCCAGGTTGGCACCAATTTGGATGGCGTGTTGCCAGAGACTTATTTGAATATTTTTTTTACACACACAATCATAGACATTTACTCCCTTTGGCTTTCAAAATCCAGGATGTCAACGAATGGAATGACATAATGGATGGAAATGCCTCCACTTCATAAGATCGAACGCAGTAATGTTTGGGGAAACATGTACGTATATGACGTAGTCTGTGCATTCTACTTATTAATATTATTCAAATTCACAGTAAAGTGGATCGACTGCGCATTCTGTGCTCACGTATATTCTGAGAAGCTGCTTTGACATGTCCGGACGAGTCGATATGGCGCTGTATCGGACGCAAGGATTATTTACTTGTTATTATTAGATTCTGTCAAGCACTCTGGGACGTCCCTCCCCAACGCGAAAGGCGCTGTAAGGAAATGAACGGATTATTAATCATAAGGCACCCGGCGTGTCGCATTCAATGCGCGTCCTGCAGCTCAGTGGATCCCGGCGAATTGCGTCCGGCGTGTTTTTTTTTGCACTGCGCTGCGGGCGGGCGGCACGTCTCGCAGGTCGCGGCCGGCGTCGCGGGTCGCAGCCGGCGCCTCTGCGGTGCGAGTGCGCCGCAGCGTAACGCGCTGAGCCGCAGCGCAACGCCACTGGCGCCCGCGCCCAGGGTTCCAGCGATGCCAATGCAACTCAACCGCTTTTGCACCCCCCCCCCCCACCCCAAGCCCCCACCCCAAGCCCCCCACCCCAAGCCCCCCGCAGCCGGTGTTATGCAACGCGTTGCAAAGCAGCAGCAGGTTGCAGCCGGTGTTTTGCAGTGTAATGCACCGCACCGCAATGCAACGCACCCGGCGTTTTGCGGTGCGGTGCGGTGCAATGCAATGCCACGCATGCAGCAGGTTGCATCCCGGCGGGGGGGGTGGGGGGGGGTTGTTTTTTTTTTGCAATGCAATCCAGTGCGTTGCACGAGCACTTGCACTTGCACTGCGCTCCGCCACTGGCCGGTGTGCCGCCGCCGCCGCCTCGCGCTCCCCCTCCCCTCCCCCCCACCCCGAGCCCCGGGGGCCACGACTGACCGACCTGCGGTTTAATCGGCGGTGGCGCCGCTCAGCAGCCGCTTCGGTCTCCTCCCCGCCTCCGCCTCCATCTCCTCGGTTTCCCCGGTCCTCCTCTCCCTCCTCCTCCTCCTCCTCGGTCAGGCCGCCCTCCTGGCGCCGTCACCGGGACTCTGCCGTGTAAGCCAAGCGGCGGCTTCCCCTCCCGCCTCCCGCAGGCCGTCTGGACTACAACTCCCAGCATGCCCGGCGCCGCCGGGGTGCGCGCGCAGGCGCGTGGCGTGCCATCCATCGGCCGGTGGGTGGGTGGGCGGGGCGGCGGGGGAACAAGAGGAGGGGCGGCCGCTCGTCAGCAGCGCGGACGCGCCAGTCACAGCGCCACCTGGTGTGTGGAGGTCACCTCCAGCCCTCACCCTCCCTGTCCATGGTCCTGAGCTCTTTGCTTGGACATTGCCCTGAGTGGCCAAAGGACACTCTGGTCTCTCTCTCTTCAGGGACTGGGAGGTCCCTGTGGCACCTTAATTTGGTAGCGTGTAACGATGCGTGTCCTAACCAGCTCTCCCGATGTGGTTCCGTGCGCTATCCAGGCTCTCCAGCCTGGTATTGCGCCCACAAAATTCAGTCACTCCACTTTACAGTCTATCCAGTGAAGCGCTTTGCGACGTCTCATCTGCATAAAGGGCTATGTCAGACGCAAGGATTGTTATTATTGTTACCATCCGTAATCCTTGCACTTGGTGTAGCATCTCTCTCTCTCTCAGCGGGAGGATGTTTCAAGAGCGTTCTCAGGAATTAACGTGAAGGGTAGTGGCTGTGCATTTGTAGACAAATGCAACAGCCTTATATGCACCAGCACTGTCCTGGAAACAACCCTGAAACACATAACCAATTTTATTTGGGACATTAATAATAATAATATTATTATAATGATAATGCTAGTACTGAACAGGCACAGGTGGTACCTTAGTTTAATGTTTTCAACAGTGAATTAAATGAGATAACACAATTATCTGCACTATTCCCATAGCCACAATAGGGGTACAAGCTCGTGCGGATAATAGGCTCTCCGGTGAATGCAACAAGAATCCTACACATAAAATGCCTTGCATGTAGAATGAATGTTGTTGAGTGAATCCCAATGGAGAGATAGGAAAGAGAGAGAGGTGTTCATTTCTAAACGTGTTTAACTAAGACAGAAGCCAACAAGCAATTGAAAGGTCTAAATCCTTAATTAACATTTTTATTAATTAGGGGGGAGAAAATGTATCCTTTCATTTTGGCATCTAACAATTATTAAAAACAGACATCAGTTCGTACAGGGTAAACCGTAAACAACACAGTATATTTATTCTATAGCAATTGATTTTTTTTCTTGATAAAATAAAACATTTTATTAGTCAATGAGGTCTTGTTATTCACATCAATGTCACAGCAATGTTAAAATTACAAGAATAATCATTCATAAATTGAAAAGAAATCGTGCCACAAGGCAATCTCTATTTTGAATAGATTTAATTCCCCCCACCCCCACCACACACGCACACAATTTTTCTCCCCTTATTGAAAGCACTGAGTGATGGTTTCATGGGCAAAAGACCGCACTCCATTACCTTGGTCCAATGGATATTCTTTGGGGAGTGAGTTCCAATGGAGAGAGCCATAGATGGATTGAATTCTCAGCTCTAGTCATTACAGATCCTTGTGTTGGTTTCTCACCAGATGTATCTAACGCCATGCACACAATTACTATTTACAGTACAAACAATGGAATCATGTGCAACATATCCACAAAAATTGGCAGCTTTATATCCCCCAAACTGTACAATGATTTGGCCACAAGGGTTAGTTAGTCTCGGACTCATAAGGATGGACTCTGACCCGGGGGATGGGGAGGCAGGCAGAGGGGGAGACAGCAACATGTGTAACCGACTGTACCATTATATTTGAATCGGAATCTTAAACACAACAGGTTGCGATTGTATCGTTAACTGCAGCTATAATTGCCTATTGATAGTCCGCAGCAGAAATGGGGTCTCACAGTGATATGAGACTTTGGCCAACGTCTCAAAGCGTTGCCTCATGAGTCCCATTGGAAGTGTATTTTACCTCCTCACAATATATCTGATCTCCTTGGTCGCTGGATGTCAGTTATACGTCAGTCCTGGGTGGGCCCCAATTAAAATGTCTCAGGTGATGAGGGTACGTTATATTCAGCGGCAATTATACCCCAGAGACGAACTGTGTTGTCTTACAGTGAAACAAAGCCCTTCCACTCAGATGAGAAAATCACATGTCACATTTCTCCAGTTCAACAAAAAAAAACACGCACAAGTCCACGCTCTCGGGCAAGAAACCCAAAACTCTATTTTGCTTCTTGTTGCACCATGGGAGGGGTGGGGAGGGAGGGGAGTGAGGAAAGTGGTGGGGAGAACAGGAAGGAAAATAGTCTCCTAGCTTTTAAGATGATTCCAAGAGGTGACTAGCCTGCAATGCAGACTATATACAGTGACCACAGCACTACATATAATAATCCTGGCATTTGATATAGAGCCTTATCATGTCCTTGAGAAACTCAAAATGCCTCACCAATACACTGTGACTGTGTGTATTTTGTGGGGGAAACGAGGCAGATGATTTGCGCACAGTGAGTCCCACAAACAGCCATGGAGTGAGCGACCAATTCTATCTGGGGTATTGTCTGTCAGCCAGGACACCGGGAGAGAGAGAAATTCTGGGCGTGTTGAAATTACGAATATCGACATGTAGAGCCGTTGTACACACACGGACATGTGTACATATACACATGTAAGCATGAACATATAATTAAAGGGGGTGTTTTAAATGATCATAGACGTCCAGTTTCTAACACACAAACTTGCGTGTTGTATACACAGCAGCCCGTCACTGAAATATTGCACGTGTTAATCTCTCTCTCTCTCTCTCTCTCTGACTGACTCGACTGACATTTTACCTCTTAATCTTTTAAGCAGGAACGAAAGGTGTTTTTTTTTGTCTTAAGCTGGAGAATTGATGGTAACACTGAGCTGGAAGTGTTGTGAATACTGAGACACACGGCTGGTGATAAAATATGGAACAAGTGTCTAGGATTGGGACTAGGACTGTCTGTGTGGGTCTGTCTGTCTGTCTGTCTGTCTGTCTGTCTGTGTGTCTGAGTCTGTCTGTCGGGTCAAGTCATTTCTACACTGGATTCAAGGTGCAGACATGGGTCAACCTCGCAGATAGGTTCCTTTAGGAGTCAGACAGTTGTGATGGGCTTTCGATGATCTGCCTCTCCCTTGGCTTTTGTTCATATGGAGACTTCGTATTCTCTGGTGTCCTGAAATCAGAACGGAAAGTAACGCCAGTCAGTGATACAAAGAATATGAGAACATAAGAATTTGCTGGACGAAAGAAGACCAAGGTCCATCCAATTCGCCTTCCGCCATCCTGGCCGTCACTTGCACATGCTGTGTCTCAAACGGTATACCGTATGCCGAGATATTATTTCCCAACAGAAATCTATCTGATATGTTCTTGAAAGCATCAACATTGTAATACACACAGTGTGTCAGTCAGGGAGAATCCTCTCTTTAAACGCAGACACAGAACACAGACCAACACACACTCAAACGCAACACACACACACACACACACAACTAACACATTACCTCCCCACCACACACATCACCTCCTCTACACACACACATCACCCCCTCTACACACACACACACATCACCTCCTCTACACACACACATCACCCCCTCTACACACACACACACATCACCCCGTCTACACACACACACACACACACACACATCATCCCCTCTACACACACATATCACCCCCTCTATACACACACGCGCACACTTACACAGAATGCAAAGCGATTGCCAACTTACCCCCGTCTCATAAATGGGGTTGTCAAAGGCCGTCTCCACTGTGATCTGACTGTACGGATGAGAAGACATGAGGGGGAGTCTCAGGTTGGAGTGATACCGACACCTAAAGTCGGGGAGACAGCATACGAGAGGTTCAGATAAAGGCTTTCACTCAGCCTGGGGGAGGGAGGGGGAGAAGGGGGGTGGTGCCTGGCTTACCTGGTGATGTAGATGTACGCTCCCCCCAGGAGGATAGAGATGATGAGGATGGGGATGAAGATAGCCAGAGCCATGTTACCTCCCTCCAACGCACTCTCAGCTGCTGCCTCTGCTACTGAAACATGAGAGGTCTACAACAACTGGGCAAATCACAGCTCTCCCCACTCCCTCAATCCCCCTCCCTCCCACTCCCACCCCTTCCCTCACACTCACTCCCCCGTCGGCCAGTTTCTCACCTGTGAATATTTCAGCTTCAAACTCACCTTCCAGCGTGTGTTGAAACCCATATTGAGGAGCTGGGGAGGCAAAGAGAAGATGTATTTACAGTTTGGGGATCAATGTACAATTTTACACAATGAAATAGGTCCGTCCGTCAGTCAGTCAGTCAGTCAATCAGCCCATTTGACATGTCACCCTATGTGAAAGGCGCTGCGTAAACACAATTTGTTGTTATTTCAATGGCTCTTAATTGCAATTTAACTGCTTAGAGTGATGTAGTACAGCAGCCTGAGGCGTGGTCTGACTGAGGCGTGAAGTGAAGCCTTACCTTTACACTGTGGCAGCGCCCCACTCCAGTGGGAGGGGTGGCCCATCAGACACTTGATGGTGAGCTCTCCCACCAGCTCAAAGCCTTCGTAACACATGAAGGTCAGTGTCTCCCCCGGGAGGTAGAGCCGTTTATACAGGATCTGGTAGCCGTTCTCTGGGAGCCCCGGGTTCTCGCACGCAACAGACTCCTCGGCTAGAAAAAGGAGGACCAAATATCTTACATCCGGCTCAAACCCCAGTGGGAACCGCTGACTTTTATTTGGAAACTGAATAGTCATCTTTGTGTATGACACTGGGAGTCCCATCAGCCCGTCAAAAGGTCTCCAAGCGCTTTGCAGGCTGTTACAGTAAAGTGTAGTGACTGATTGTTTTGTAGGGCAACGTGGCAGCCATTTTATGCACAGCGGCGTCCCCAATAAACAGCCGTGAAGAGTAGTGACTGATGTTGCTGTTGTCTCTTCAGTCACCAGGCGGTGGGTGGCCTGTGACTCTGTGCCAGCAGCTCTGTGTGAATGATGGGGAGTGTTGGCAGGTCAGCCTGTGCCATCTGCGAGTGAAGCCTCCTGACTGCCAGTCACCGCTCACCGCGGGTCACCAACAAAACACCAGACTCTCACAGCACCGGCTTTAACCTGCCGGGAGTCGAGATTCGAATCCAGCCCAGATTGTCTGGGCCGAATTAGACCTCTCCTCCCCGCATGTCAACTTACACCAAAAATAACCCTCAGTCTGACACAGCATCAAAAATATCCAAAGACACTTCACGCGCAGCTGTTGTCAAGTGTTACAGTAATAATAATAATAGTAATAATAATATTGTCCTGGCCGACAATTCCCCCAAATAAAATTGGCCACTCGTTTCGTGATTGCTTGCGGGACATTGCTGTGCGCAATTGCTGACAGACGCACAGTCATTCCATTTCACAATAACTCCTGTGAAGCACCCTGAGATGTCTTTCCTTTCCGACGTGAATAAGGAGCTGTACCAACTGCAGGGGTTATTATCATTCTGTGTGTTTTGGTGGCATTATAAGCTCCTCTCACGTGGCATCTCTGTGCAGTTTTTGTGTTGAGGTCTAGTGTGGATTTTTTTTTTTGGGGGGGGCGTGTGGGTGGGGTTGGTGGGGGGGTGGGTGGGAGGGAGAGGGGAAAGAGCAGATAGATTGCACTTATTGGCCTCCTGCACTGACCCCAGTGGACTCTGAGGCAATTCAACTGAGACTCCACTAGATGACAGCAGAGCCTTACACAGTATTATCGCGCTGCTAAATAATAAGCTTTGCATCTGATACAGGTCTTCGAGACGTCTCAAAGCGCTTCACGGGATTATACTGTCAAGTACGAGCGACTGTGCATTTTGTGGGCGAAAAGCGGCAGCCCAATTGCACTCAGTGGCAGCATCCCTCGAGCATGACCGCTGGGTAAACAGAGACGTGTGCGTGGAGTAAGGAAACTTGCCTAAGGTTTCGACCTGACCTGACCTGACCCGCCCGGGAATCAAACACGGGTCCTCTCGCTTGCGAGGCGAGGGCTCTAACCCCTAAGCTACGGGTCTCCAAGAGTAAGGAATGGGTCAAGTCAAAATTCTTCCTGATGTGATTTCCCCCTCCTCACCATCTGTGTGTGTGTGTGTATGTGTGCGAGACCCCCGATTATAAGGCTTGTTGACTCACTGACGCAGCGGGGCAGTCTGGATGTCCAGAGAGGGGTACCGGTCTCTCGGCTGTAGCAGGTTAACAAGGCGCTTCCATCCAGGATGTGGTCCGGATCACAGCTGTACTGAATGGTGGATCCCACCAGCAGTTTGGTGTCTGATATGGAGCGCGTGGAGTGTTCAACCTCCCCAGCATCGGTGCAGTACATGACTGGGGGAGAGGAAGAGACATCTTTAATCGCACGGGAATTGGCAACAACAACAACAACTTGCGTTTACACAGCGCCGCCCCCCCCCCCAGGCAGGGTAGAGTCCCGGAGAGCTTGACAGTGGCGCAGAAAATCAGTCCACCTCTGTCTCTGTCTCTGTCGCCCAGAACCGTTCGCATTAAATAATCCCCCTTTGCACCCGGCGAAGCGTATATTTCCTATCAAGTCTTTGACTGTGAATCTTGTGGGCTATTTGCAGCAGCCGATTTGAACACAGCGACGTCCAAGCAAACAGCCGTTAAATGAATGACCAATTTTTATCGGGGGTGTTGGTGAGGGGGAGGGGGGGAAGAATTATCAGCCAGGACACCCGGAAAGAGAGAGAGAGAGAGAGAGAAACTCGCTTCTCTTTTCAAGTAGCGCCGCGGAGAGACCTTTAACGTCTCGCTGAACAGGGCCGAAAAGATGGGTAGAAATCCCTTTGTCATCTGAGAGAGAAACAGAAAACGCCCAGAAACCCTTTCCACCTCGAGAGCCCTTTCCGTGACAGGAGATAAACAATGAAGGAGGAAGTGGACCATGTCTCGAGCTTCTACTCTGGTCTCACCCACTTGCTGGAAGCTTCCATCACTCTCTCGCTTGCTCGCTCAAAGCCTATTTGTCCTCTGCTCAGCGAGGAGCTTATAATTCTCAGACGGCACTGAAGGCTAATGACAAATGGCTCTGTCATTTGCTCTGTCTAATATCCAATGTTTCGAGTCAAAGCTACAACCCGAGCGTCTGATAAATAATGATCTGTGCACTCGACGCAGCGCCTCTCACCTCGGGAGGACGTCTTAAGCGATTCGCAGGATTTTACCCTGAAGTGTAGTGACTGTGTGTTTTTACCTTCGAGTGCAGTCTGGGTTGGGGGTTGGGAGGGGGGGGCTCAATCCACGACGGTCTGTGGGACACGGCTGGGTACAACTGGCTGCCGCGTTTGGCCCACAAAACACACAGTCACTACACTTTACAGTACATCAGATTAGATTGGATTTTTCTTGCCCCTGCCCCACAAACACAATACCCCTCCCCCCCGACTCGTGACGGGAGGGGGCGCTCGAGTTACTTAAAAAGAAAACTCTCTGGCTTAAACAAAAAGCCTCTCCTTTTCCGCTCTCCCCAGAGAAAAATTCACACAAAGCATTAAAACCCACACGTCAGTATCCGTCTGGACCAGAACACATTAACTTGTGCTCCTGATTGATGTCCGTTGTTATTTGACTTGACAAAACACATGACCACATGTCCCCCGGCGTTTCCAGCCCAACTAACAAGCAATAGGGCCTCTGCACTCACAACACGATGCGATTGACACTTACACACACAGCGCTTTCCACATCAGAAGGATGTCCCAAGGCGGTTCACCTCTACGACCAACTAAACCATTACATCCCTTCCCCTCCCTCCCCTCGGCGGGCACTGGCCTGCTCCACGTCCCCCGCACCGCCCCGCCCTGCCCCGCGCCCTGCCCGCTCCACCGTCAGCGGTCAAGCCTTCAGCCTCCCCAAATTCCACTCCACAATGGCACTCACTTTTCTCACAGAACGGCGCCTCGCTGCTCCACAGAAGGTCCCACTGGCAGGTCAGGGTGTCGCTCCCGACAATGTCGTAGCCCGGGTCGCATTGGTAGGTGATGGTGGTGCCGCGGACCATCTCCCTGTGTGAGGTGGTTTTCCAGCCGTTGGGAATCTCTGGCAGATCCGAGCAGGTATCGTTCCGGGAAACCTCTGTGTATCCAACAACATCAACAACTTGCATTTATATCACACAGGGTAGCATCCCAGAGAGAGAGAGAGAGAGAGAGAGCAGAAGGGCCTTCAGAGAATCTTTCTGTAAAGTGTAGTGACTGTGAGTTTCGTGATGACAATAATAATAATCCTTGCATTTGACATAGCGCCTTATCACGTCGTTGAGACGTCTGAAAGCGTTTCACAGAATATACAGTGAATTGACTGTGTATTTTGTGGGTGGGCGAATGATTATTTTTATAATTAATATTGTTAATAATCCAATCCGCGCAGCGCAACGAGAGTGATTTGAAAGCCGAATAAATTCTGCGCACCTAACGAAGCCATTCCCTCCTCCCCACCAAACCTCTCTCTTCCCCCAGAGCCCGAAGCTGGGGCAGATTTTATTCCAACGCAAAAGGGCCTGGAATCACCTCTAATGCCTGCTCTTCCACACTTATTGATTTCCAATAAAGCCATCGCGTAAAAATCTCTATTCACGTCACATCCGCAATTTACTTCCTTTATTGAACCTCAAGGTCGGGCTGTCTGGTGTTGTAGTCAGATGATTGTGAGCTGTTTGTGTGGGAATAAGTATCACCATTCCTTTATGTGAAGGGCATAGCATCCCACTCCGCTCCTGTTAACCCTGCAAGCCAGAGTCCCGATGGGTCGGTTGTCCTAGTTGGGCAAGCAGCTGGGAAACCTCCCCAGACAGCGCTCTCAATGGGCAAGCAGGACCTGGTCCCTCGCAGCGAAAGGAAAGGTCTACAAGTGAGTAACGACGACAACAACAACAAGTTACATTTACACCGCGCCTTTCACCTCCCAAGGCGCTGGACAGTCAGGGATTTGGGCCCGAGCTGGGGGTTGGGCTCAGGAGGGCAGGGAGGGTGGGGGGTAGGAGGGTGACTGAAGGCTCGGTCACAGAGGAGGGTCCTGAGACAGGCCTTGAAGGAGGCGAGGGAGGGGAGTGAGGTGAAGGGAATGTGGAATGAAGTTCCAAAGGGTGGGGGCAGAGCGGCTGAAGGCCCAACCGCTGATGGTGGGGCGGGCTGGGCGGGGAGCACTGAAGCACACTGAGCGGAAGGAGCGGACACGTCGATACGGAGTTAGCAGGTCCCAGAGGGATCTCAACTCGTGGTGAAAACATTTGTGGATTGAGGTGAAAGCCACAGACCATAATAGTTCATGATAAATCCTTGTCCTTTCCCGAAAACCAGGCCGGCCGGATCCGAATGGAATCGGATGGTGAGATCAGAGGTCGAGGAGTAGACTTTCAACGGGATGTTGCTCCCAACGTACTGTCCCAGAATCCTCATCGTCAGGTCATCGCCATCGTACAGCGTCAGGATGTCACTGTTGCTCAGGTTAATCCTGTGGAGAGAACAAAGCAGCAACAGTTAATAACAGTAGTAATAATCCTGGCATTCCATACAGCGCCTTACGGAGACGTCTCAAAGCGCTTCACAGGTTATACTGTAAAGTGTAGTGACTGTGTATTTTGTGGGCGAAAGGCGGCAGCCAATTGTGCACAGCGACGTCCCCACAAACAGCCGTGGATTGAGTCACCAATATTTAAAAATTGTTATTATTATTATTATTATTATTATTCGCCCACAAATATACAGTCAATTCACTTTACAGTGTATTCTGCGAAGAGCTTCGAGACGTCTAGAAGACGTGATAAGGCGCTGTATCAAATGCAAGGATTATTATTATTATTTGTTTTGAGGGGTTATTACCCCCGGAAAGTGATCCATCAAATGACTAACAGCCGAGTTCCAAATTACTGCCGGGCAAACAGTGGTGTGTGGGAACTTGCCCAACATTTCGCCCGTCCGGGAATCAAACCCGGGTCCTCTCGCTTGCGGGGCGAGTGCTCTAACCGCTGAGCGACAGGACTCTGTAGTGTAGCGGTTACTTGAGTAGAAAGAAATATTACTTTCTAAGAGCAAGAGGGGAATTACTCGGAGAAAGAAGGTCCCTCCCCTCTCCCCCTCTCTCCCTCTCTCTCCCACCTTCCCCGCTCTACCTCCTTCCCCTCTCTCCACTCCCTCCCACGCTCTCCCCCCCTCCCCCTCTCTCCCCTCCCCCTGTGAACACATGTCGCTGGGGAAGACTCACAGTTGAACATCCAGAAAGATCCGCTTCTCCTCCCCCACGTGGATTTTCCAGATGCAGTCCTTCCCTTCATCGTATGGTTCAGGCCAGTTTGGAGAAAGGATGACTCCGGCCTGGCTGGTGAGCTCCCCTCCGCACAGCGCTGAAATAAGACAGGCCACAGCCAAGTGATTGCTCGGCCTAGTCTAGACCAGGGACTTTGAGCAGAGATAAAAAAAAATATTTGTGGGGATTGTCGGCCATGACACCGGGAGAGAGAGAACTGCCGCCTGAACAGGGCACAGACGAGTGAGTGAGGTTTAACGTCTCATCCGAAGTTGAGCGTCTCAGACATTGCAACGCCCCCCCCAATCCCCAGCCCCGCATTGGAGGCTCAGCCGAGTCTGTGTGATACCAAACACTTGTGGTCTTTCACCAGGTCCCCAGGTCTCACCTCTGCAAAGTGGCTCGGTTTCGTTCCAGTAGGACTCCCTGATGTCAATGCACTCAATGATGGCGGAGCCTTGCTCCAGGGTGTAGCCAGGGTCACAGGTGAACTCCACCACTGATCCCACGCTGTAGGAGTGGTCCGTACTGGTGAAATTCCCATTCTGCATGTAGGGCTCGTAGCAATGGCCGTGCTCAAAGGCTGGGGAGCAAGCGAAGAGAGAATAACAATAATAATAACTATTATCATCTTGCATTTGATATAACTTATCACATCGTTGAGACGTCTCAAAACCTTTCACAGGATACACCATAGAGTGGAGTGACTGTATTGGTGGGAATCGTTGTACCCACTTGGCTAATAGTTATTACCCCTAGAAAACAATCCGCTAATCGACTAACAGCCGGGTTCCTACTCACTGCTGGTAAACACAGTAAGGAAACTTGCCTAAGGTTTCGCCCTGACCTGACCCACCCAGGAATCGAACCCGGGTCCTCTGGCTCTGGCACTGGCACAGTTGGCAGCTGTCGTTATTGGCAACAAAGATGGCGGCCACCACCACCACCACCACCACCACCACCAACAAGGTTACATTTGTATAGCGCCTTTCACGTCGGGAGGATGCCCAAGGCGCTGGGAACTTCTGAGGAGGGGAGGAAAGACAGGGTTAACAACAAATCCCATCAAGAATTAACGCTTAAAATTCAACTATTTCTTAACAGATTTGGGGCAACAAGCACATCAGAGAGATGATGGATGAGAGAGAGGAACGAAGCTGGCTCTGGGCCCACATTTGCTGAGCCAGCCTGCGAGGAACCTTATTTTTTTTGGCAGATAAATAATTGAAAGGCAGAAAACGGGGACAGGGAAAATCCATTACTATCAGAAACGATGCGGAACTCACTGCCACTCAATATTAATCTCAGGAACATTCGGCTGGATATTAAAATAAAATGAAGAGCCAACGCCAAGAAGCGTTCTGCCCTCTCTCCCTCGCCTCCCACCCCCAGCGCAGATGCCAAGCCAAGACTGTAAAGTGTCTTGGGACACCCTCCTGATGTGAAAGGCGCTGAATAAATGGAGAGATTCCCATCGCTCCCTTTGCCAACACTATCCCACCATTCAACAGCGCAATAATAATAATAATAATGGATTTGCATTTGATATATAATAATAATAATAATCCTGGCATTTGATACAGCGCCTTCTCACGTCTTCGAGACATCTCAAAGCTCTTCGTAGGATACACTGTCAAGCGAATTTATTGTGTATTTTGTGGGCGAAACGCACAGCAGCGTTCCCTCAAACAGCCGCGGATTGAGTGTCAAGTTGTTTCTTTGAGGGATTATTATTACCCCCGGAAAGCGATCGGTCAATCGACTAACCACCAGGTTCCTGCCGGCTAAACAGAGGCGTGTGGAGTAAGGAAAATTGCCCAAGGTTTCGCCCCCACCCGGGAATCGAACCCGAGGTCCTCTGGCTTGAGAGGTGAGGGCTCTAACCACTAAGCTACAGGATTCCACGTCCATCGTGTGTGGTTACCTTCATATCGGATGTTGAATCCGCCTCCTGTCCTTTCTTCATCGGAGATGAACTTGATGTGGACCTTGGGCCCCTCGCTGATCACGCCCTCGAGAGGAAAGACTGGATTCTCAGAGGAGTCGTACATGTTCAGCGATGTCCCCTGCTCCCCATTGCGCACAATCAACCTGCTCCGTAGAGGACAATAAGTAGTCAACGTTACATAATCCTTCTAATAATCCTTGCATTTAATACAGCGCCTTATCACGTCGTTGAGACGTACATCTCAAAGCGCTTCGCAGAATATACTCTAAAGTGCAGTGACTGTGTATTTTGTGGGAAAAACGCGGCAGCCAATTGCACACAGCAGCGTCGCCACAAACAGCCGTGGATTGAGGGACCGCCTGATTTTTCTTTTTTGGAGGGATTATTAGGCCCAGAAAAGCGATCCGCCAATCGTCTAGGAACGGTATTGAGATCTTGGATGTTTGGGGGCGGGGGGGACGGGGGGAGGGAAAGTGCAATATTCAGTTTGATGTTAAGGGAGTTGTGTAACATAAGAGCTCAGTCAGGCGTTTAATTGCATCTCGATAAAAATACTGTATCCCTTTTTCTCGGCTTGCTTGTCAGATGAACTCAGACTGCTTGTGAGTGTCTCTGCATATCCACAAGGGCTCACTTGAAGCTCAATCTCAGGCCCCCGAATGAGCAGAACCAAACACTCAGTAAACATTTAGCAATTTGTGTTGCACCAAATTGACGACGCCTGATGTATCAAACAAGAGAGAAGGGGACAATAACAATCATAATCATCCTTGCATTGGATATAGCGCCTTAGCACGTCGTGGAGACCGTGTGTTTTGCAGGCGATACACCGCAGTTAGTTCCACACAGGAAAGTCCCGTGAACAGCCGTGGAGCAAGTGACCTATTTTATTTATTTGGTGGGGATTGTCGGTCAGGACAGCGGGAGAGAGAAACTCCTTTCTCTTTTCCAACAGCACCGCGGGATCTTTAACGTCCACCTGAACGTGCACAGACCGGGAGTGAGGTTTAACGTCTCATCCGAAGGACAGGGTCTCGGACAATGCAACACACACTATCTCACTCCACCTTCAACTCCCAACTCTGTCTTAGACTAACCTTGCCGAACTAATACACTACCCCATCGCAGAGCTCAGGGCGTCCGCAACACAAAAGTGCAGAAAAAAAGAAATGCGTAAAGAAAAGAGGATCTGATTTTGAAGGGTGAATAAAAATAGTGTCAGTGGGAGATTGTGGGATGATGGACGAACGAGATACATACATTGTCTGGAAGCGGTGGCGTTGACAAAAGAGGAGATGTGCCTAGAGCTGTAATCAATTCAAACTCAAGGCTTTGCTACCTGCTGAGTGACATTGTATTGAGTGTTTTTATATCGAGAGCGCGAGCCTCTCAAGCGGGAGGACCCGGGTTAGATTCCCAGGGGCCGGGCCAAACCTTAGGCAAGTTTCATTATTCCACACTCCTCTGTTTACCAAGCTGTAAGTAGGAGCCCTTGTTAGTCGATTGGCGGATCACTTTTCCGGGGGTAATAAACCCCTTAAAAAAATACTAATGTAATAATTTGGTCATTCAATCCACGACTGTTTCCAAGACCCAACATGGCCTAATTCCTTGCTCCAGATAATTTGTTACTCAGCCTTTTCCCCTGGGAGCTACGAGTTATCAGGAGTGTCCTGTAAATGCAAGTTGTTGTTGTTGTTGTTGTATTGCCTACCTGTCTTCTTTCCCGGCCAGGGCAACCTTCTCAAAGTGCAGATGAAGCTTCTGTCCTCTCATCCCTTCGATGGTCCAGGTGCAGGTCAGGTTGCTGCTGTAGTTGGCCGGGTAATTGGGGGACAGAATCCTTCCAATGGAGGCGTTCCTCACCACTCCACCACAGAGCGCTGGGAAAGGCCGAGAGCGAGAGCGAGTGAGAGACAAGGCATGAGGACACCTCCCTCAGCTCAGAGACTGTCGTCTCCATCCGCTTACAGCCGTCGCTTAAATCTAACATTCATCATAACTATCATCAACCGTAGAGTCTCGTAGCTCATGGGTTAGAGTCAGAGCCTCGCGAGCGAGAGGACCCGGGTTCGATTCCCGGGTGGGTCAGGGCGATACCTTAGGCAAGTTTCCTTGCTCCTATTTACTGCTGGGTAAATAGAGGTGCGTGTAGAGTAGGGAAACTTGTCTGAGGTTTGGCCTGGCCCGGGAATCGAACCCGGGACCTCTTGCTTGCGAGGCGAGTGCTCTAACCACTGAGCTTGTGAATGTGGAGGCTCCTGTTTGGAGGTTACCTTCACAGGTAGGTTCCTTGGCGCTCCAGTGGGGCCGGGATGCATTCATGCAGGTTAGTGTCTTGAGGCCCTGAAGATGGTAACCAGGGTTACAGCGGAAATGGGCAGAGCCCTCAGCGTGAAGGTCCATCACTGACACGTCACCAAAGTCTGGCCTCCGCGGAAAACTGCAGCTCAGCATGAACGCTGCGGAGAGAGAGAGAGAGAGAGAGAGAGAGAGAAACCGAGACAAGTCGTGGGGCAGAAATGCGACATTTCATAGCACTTTCGATGTGTTAATAATAATAATAATGTTAATCCTTGCATTTGCTATAGCGCCTTATCACGTCACTGAGACGTCTAAAAGCGCTTCACGGAATATACTGGAAAGTGTAGTGACTGTGTATTTTGTGGGCAAAACGCGGCAGCCAATTGCGCACAGCAGCGTCCCCACAAACAGCCGTGGATTGAGTGACCAAATTTTGACTGTTTCTTTCTTTCTCTCTTTCTTTCTCTCTCTCTCTCTCTTTCTTTATTTATCTATTTATTTATTTGTTGTGATCCTGTTAATACAATCAGATTGTGAACATGTCAAACCAATCTCTCTGCTCTATTCCCCTCTGGAGGAAACCTAGCGGCTCCGAACAGCTTAACGACAATAATTGTTCTTCCAATGCCTAATTCCCGGCGCTAATTCATTTGTGTTTGGTTTGAGAAGCGATAGGGAGCTGTAGCGCTCCCACTTGCTCTCTAATGGAAGTCGTTAACTGCCTCAGAGACACCACTTGTACTCTGTTTGTCAGTTAATGATGATGTCAGAAGCCAACACCGTGGGGAATGGCCAGTAACACACTCACACACACACACACACAAGGCTCTGAGCTATCTCACGTCTCTCTGCGGAAAGTCTATGACGCTCAGCAAGTTATTCCTCGGTTATCAATAACATGCCTGAGCCTGACTTAGTGGTAGCACTCTCTCTCTCTCTCGCCTCTGAGTCAGAAGGTTGGGGGGGTTCAAGCCCCCCAAATTGGGACTTGGAATCACACAGTCTAAGCTGACGCTCCAATGCAGCGCTGGGGAGAGAGAGAGAGTGCTGCATTGTCGGAGGTGCCGTCGTTCAGATGAGACGTTAAATCTCACTCCCCGTCTGTGCCCGGTTCAGGTGGACGTTAAAGATCCCTCGCGGTGCTATTCCAAAACAGAAGGCAGTTTCTCTCTCTCTCTCTCCCCCCCCCGGTGTCCTGGCCAATAATCCCCCCGATAAAATTGGTCTCTGACTACATGGCTGCGTGTGGGACGCTGCTCTGCAAAAAAAGAAGTATGTGTGTAAGAGAGAGAGAGAGTCAGCATTCTAATCTAGACTTTAATAGCGTTAAAAGTCTCCGTGAGGTGAGTGGGAGCAATCTCAGTCCATGTCCTAGTTACCACAAGCAACGACCCATAAGTCAGCGGCAACTGGCACTAAGTTGGCAAGGGTTCTCGGCCTGGTTTTCTACCCACTAAGAGCTGGGCTGGCTGCCTACATTCATTCCATTTCCAGCGGCTCCCTCATCGTCTCACTTTGGCTGCAATCTCACAGCAAAGCCCCAGAGGGAGCAGGTTCGGTGCTTCATCACAAGAGTTTCAGCGTCTAAGGAAATGCAGAGTCAGAAATCTGTTGGTTCCTGTAAATCCAGTGACTGTGGTTTCATGTCCCCCCGCGAGTCCATCGCCCTATCCTTGCCCGTCCCCCCAGAGGATTGGCTTTGAGGTTCCAATCTTGTCCTAACTTTCAAATGCCTCTGTGACCCTGCCCCACCTTTACCTCTGTGAGTTCCTGACTCAACCAAATGAAGCAGTTTTATTTGGGGGATTGTCAGCCAGGACATTAGGAGAGAGAGAAACTCCCTTCTCTTTCCTCTTTTATCTTTTCCAAAAGTACCGGGAAACGTTCACCTGAACAGCCGGACAGTCAGTTCAACATTTCATCCAAAGGACGGCACCTATCTCCCCCCCAGCGCTATGCTGAAGCTTCATCCTAGACTGGGTGAGCTCAAAGTCCCTGACATGGGGGCTTGAACCCACAACCATCTGAGGAAGGTGAGAGCGAGTGACCGAGCCAGGTCATAGGGAGAGAAACCTTGAGACTCCTCTTCGAGGAGGAAATGTTTTAAGACGCAAATAAAAGTGGTACAGTCTGAATCTTTCACTCACGTTGGTAGTGGAGTTGGAACGACCCAATGCCTCCGTACTGGAGAGAGTGGAAGTGGGTGGAGATGGTGTTGGTTGGGCTACGGATCACCTGGCCTTCGACGAGCAGCGTTTGATTGGCGAGAAGGACCCAGTTCTCCTCCTCCAAGCCGCGGATGCAAAGCAACTCGCCCTCCGACAGGTTCAGACTCTTAATCTGAAACAACACCCGATGTATCTCAGTCACAATGGGCAAGAATCAATCATGACAATCCTCGCATTTTGATCCAGCGCCTGATCGCGTCTTCCAAGACCGTCTCAAATCGCTTCGCAGGATACACCGTGAAAAGCGTAGTGACTGTATGTTTGGCGGGCAAGCGCTTCACGAGCATTCTAATCTCCGGCAGGGGCGCGGGGGACAGGAACGAGGCCGGTCCTCTAGATCGGTGACGACGTCAAACAAATAAAGCTGCCGTCAGGAAGTCGCACCGCTTCACTTCCTGAGTGTGGTTTTAATCGTGTGGATTAAAAAGTAAAAATGACGGGAGAGGACGTCAGCCCGAAACAATCGCTAGGTTAGTACGGTCAAATGATACCACTTGCATTTGATGTAGCATTTAACACATCAAAACGTCCTTCACTGTAATTACTGGGAAGTGTAGTGACTGTGTGTGTTTTGTAGGCAAACCCAGCTGCTAACTCGTGCACAGCAAAGTCCCACAAGCACACACTTGATTGTCGGCCAGGAAACCAGGAGAGAAACTCCCTTCCCTTTTTCCCCACAGCGCTGTGGGACATCTTTAATGTCCACCTGAACAGGGCACAGATGGGGAGTGAGGATTAACTGAAGGACGGCACCTCCGACAATGCTCTCTCTCTCTCTCTCTCCCCCCCACCCCAGCGCTGCTCTGGAGCGTGAGCCTGGACTGTGAGCTCAAACTCCCTGACGTGGTGGTGCGGGGCGGGGGGGGGGGGGGGGGGGGAATGGGGTGGGTTGGGGTGGGGGGCTCGAACCCACAACCTCCTGACTCACGAGGCCGGAGCGCTACCAGACTCGCACATCCCTGAAATCCACCGTTTTAATTAAACTTAGAACAAACGAATAAAAAGCCGCTTGTGTCAGGTCTGCTCTCATTAAACTTCCAGATGGAAGGCACAATTCAGGAGGCTGAACCCCCGCCAGCGGAGGCTCCGAGAGAATAGCCACGTGAGACAAGAAGCAAATAGATTTGAGAGGCAGAGAGAGAAAGAGAGAGAGAGAGGGGGAAAGAGAGAGACTTAGCACCAAACTGGCAGTAAAAAGACAAACACATCCATCTGTCTACAGCAGGTAAATGTCAACGTGTCAAACTGTCGTCTTCGTTCCCCAACATTTCAGTCAGTGATTTCCGAGTGGCGCCGTTTAATAAACCGTGAGAATTCAGAAAGATCTCGCGTCGCGTCAGGTCGAACACGGCTCCGTGAGAGTCACGGTTATTTACTGTCAACTTTAGCGACCGCATTTTGTTTTGCAGCTCAACTTTGGTCGCTTGTCTCCACGGGGTGCGTTGGAGCTCTCCGTAGCTCCGTGGTTCGAGCCCTCGCCTCGCAAGCGAGAGGACCCGGGTCCGATTCACGGGCGGGTCAGGTCGGGGCGAAACCTTAGGCAAGTTTCCTTACTCCACCCAAACACCTCTGTTTTCCTAGCAGTGAGTCGGAGCCCGGTTGTTAGCCGATTAGTGGATCGCTTTTCCGGGTGGGGGGGTAATAATCCCTTCAAAAAATAATAATAATAATTTGGTCACTCAATCCACGACTGTTTGTGGGACGCTGCTGTGCGCAATTGTCTGCTGCGTTTTGCCCACAGAATACGCAGTCACTGCACTTTATATTGTGAAGTGAAATATTCTGGATTCCACAGTCCTTACACAGATGCTGAGTCTCAAAGTCGTGTGCAGTGAGTCGGGAAAGTCATTTCATTAATTGCTGTCCCAGGGCTGGGAGATTCAATTCAATCTCTATACAATCTAATTCAATTTACATCTGAACGGCAAACCTTATCTGCTGCGGTGATTTATAAAGAGGCGGCCAAAGGAATCCACACTTCTCAAAACCTGGGGAATGCTTATAATAATAATAATAATAATAATCCTTCCATTTGAAACAGCGCCTTATCAGGTCGTTGAGACGTCCCAAAGCTCTTCACAGGATATACTGTAACGTGGAGTGACTGTGTGTTTTTTTTGTGGGCGGAACGCGGCAGCCAATTGCGCACTGTCGCGTTACTCCACGCGCAGTGGTGGGTTGAGTGACCAAATTATTTCTTTAGTTATTCGCCAATCGACCAACCACTTGATTCTGACTCACTGCTGGGCAAACAGAGGCGTGTGTGTGTGGAGTAAAGAAACTTGCCTAAGGTTTCGCCCCGACCTGACCCGCCCGGGAATCGAACCCGGGTCCTCTCGCTTGCGAGGCGAGGGCTCTAACCACCGAGCTACGGGAGGAGCGGTGGAGGCAATGAGTTGATCTGGGAGCGGTGTTGACAAGCTCGATGCGAGGCCCAAAACCAAAGCGTTTGTTTTGTAACCGCAGAGAGGAGCGGGAAAGTGCGTCTGCGCTACTTCTGACTCAACCACCAAAGCAACAAACCACTCAACCGCTGCCTTAGGACCAATCCATATATTTAACTAACTGAGCAAATCACCTCACAACAAAGCAGGAGAGGGGAACGAGGTAGAGAATGCAATTACTCTCAGTGTGTCAAACACACTTTAGGCTCACAGCACGAGTCCTCTCAACTCTGTTGATGAATTGGAATGTGTTAATTAGGTTCCTTTTTAATATAAGAATCCTCGCATTTTACGCTGTGCCTTACTGCGTCCTCGATGTGTCTCAACCCGCTTCACAGGACTTATTTCAGTCCGCAGGACTCTGAAATAATAACCCTTCCATTGGAGACGGGGTCTCGCACTTCAGGAGGACGCCTCAAAGCGCTTCGCAGGATTCGCTGTTAAACGTGGTGACTGTGCGTTCGGCTGGCCAACGTCAACAAGATCCCGGCCTCTCTGAGTAAACAACCTTTGGTGTGATGTGTCAATAGGGGCCTTTGGTGACGCTGCCAATTTCACGCTCACTTAAGCAGAGTTAAATCCATTACATTTCATTTTAGTTCCTCGCGGAACGTGCTCTTTCCGGTCTGGTTGGATCTGAAATTACAAAATTCCAACCAGACGGGTTTTTTTGTCTGAGTGCCTCAGCTAATCCCCTTTACAGTATCGAAAGCAGAAGCGACCAGGAACACTCAATAAGTTAAGGCAGCATCTATGGAGAAAGGATCCAGTGGGACCTGAAAGGTTGACTCACTTTTCTTTCTCCATAAACGCTGCCTGATCTGCTGAGTGTTCCCAGTCGCTTCTGCAATATTTTGCTTTTTGTTCCCCTTTACGGTATATATTCTGTGAAGGGCTCTGAGATGTCTTACCGACGTGGTAAGGCGCTGTATCAGATAATCAAATCCAAGGCTTATTATTATTATTATTATAATATGGTTTCTAAGTCCCAAATTACTTTTTTTTTTAGCCTTTTTTTGGTCAATTGACTTTACAGTGTATCCTGTGAAGCACTTTGAGACGTTTTAACGACATGATAAGGGGCTGCGTCGAATATTCAAATGCAAGGATTATTGGTATTATAATTATAATGTGGGTTCCAATCCTGACATTGGGGGGATTGAACCCACGACCTTCTGACTCAGCGGCGAGACCGAGTCAGGGTGACACACACACACACACACGAGAAAGGAAGGAAGAAAGGAAGGCAATCCTACCTGGAGCTCTACTCCGTAACCAGTGTAGACGGTCACGTTGAATGTGCACTCGAGGGGTCCAAATGAAGACATCGGGAGGAAATCCGCGGAATCAATGTAGCCTTCGGGGTCTGAGAAACTTACACCACACGGAGCTGGAAATAGAGGGTGTGTTGACTTAGCAAATGTCTTCCCAACCCTACAATAATCACCTCTATAGTTATCTTTTTTGGTGGTGGTGGGGAGGGGGGGGGGGGTGGGAGAGAATCCAAGCTTAGGAGAATCCTTGAATGATGTGATGTGCGGAATCAGCTTCAGTGCTGTCACGTCCCTGGGGGTGGGGGGGTTGGGGGGGTGGGGGGAGTTGGGGGGGGTGCCGGGGTTGGGGGGGGGTGGGGGATCATGTATATTGATATCAGCTTTGCTCCATATTGGCCCTCTCGCAGGGCTGATCTTCAAACCATCTGCTCTGGAATACAATGACATTCCGGGAGCGGTTTGAGAATTCTCCCGCTATCCCTATTCCGAACCGGAAGAGTTTTCCCCTCTCTCCGTCTCTCTGGGCTGCACTCAAGCCCAAATCCTGGGAAGGGGGAGCACCCAAATATTCCCTTCCCCTCTCGGTGAAACGATACCATCACGAGCTCTGGACAACTGGGGGAGGTATTTACCTGCTGTCTGTAGTGTGGTGATGGTCGTTGTGGTAACAATGGTTGTGGTGGTGGCCTCCATTTTCTCCTCTGTTGGTGTCTCTGCCCGGCCTGTGGGTGAGGCGGGAGTGAGCCAGGCAGTGGGAGGGCCAGGGGTGGCCCCCCCCATAGGGTTGGCGTTCTCCCCTGCGCGGGGCCGAGCAGACACCTCGCCAGGCATGACCGTGCCCGAGGAACCAATCCGAACAGGGGGGTGTTGGGTGGGACCATCCCAGTTGCGACGGGCAGCGGCTTTCATCGTGTGAGCTTCGGTCGCCTTGACAACCAGGTTTTCCTGAACCCCAGGACCATCGGGCACTGCCAGGGATCCCTCGGGAGAAGGCTTTGAATCGGAGTTGGAGGAGGGGGAGGGGGGCTTTGCGGGGGCTGGGGTGGGCCGCAGGGGGCCAACAGAGGTTGTTGGGGAGGAGGTGGCGGACACTGGCTCAATCCAAGACTTCTCAGGAGGAACCGGGATGGATGATGGTGGTCCTGGTGCTCTCCGAGAGAGCAGGCCCTTCTTCTGCTGGACTAGGGAGTCGAACAAGTTGACCCCAGGGCTGCTGTGGTCATTGACAGCCTCCAGCCCCATCTCGCTTGTCTCCCCGCCCCGGGTCTCGGTTGCCCAGGCCCTCGCCGGCAGATGAGAGGCAGGAGTAGTCCCCAGCTCCCCTCCAACGCCAACATCTGAGGAGAAAGCACACACGACCATCAGAGGACCATCTGTGCCTGTAACCGCGTGAGTGACTGACAAGAGCCTACTGTCCAGCGTTAACGTCTCGTCATTAATCTCCCCGTAAAGTGTCGCTGCTGATCTGGAGTCACAAAGCACCTTCACACAGATTAAACACCAACAGACAGCTTTGCACCTTGGCTGTGCTCCAGATCAGATCCCCTCGTACTGTTTTCAAGGACAAGTTGGTATTTCGTCCTATCTGTTGGTCTGGGGTAAGGCAATCGTATTGCGAGTGACCAATTTGCACACAGCATCATCCCGCAAACAGTCATGAAGTGAACGAGCAATTCTTTCTGGGGGAATTGTCGGCCAGGACACCGGGAGAAAGAGAGAGAGAGAGAGAGAGAGAGAGACGCCTATCTTTTCTTCCAACAACTCCGTGGGATTTTTAATGTCAACCTGGACAGGGCCCAGACGGGGAGTGAGGATTAACGTCTCATCCGAAGGAAGGTGTCTCTGACGATGCAGCGCTCTCTCTCTCTCTCTCTTTTTCTGTCTCTCCCCCCCCCCAGAACTGCGCTGGAGCCTGAGTCAGCCTAGACTGTGAGCTCAAAGATCCCGACCCAACCCGCTGGGCTCAGAGGCGAGATCGCTACCAACTGAGCCGGGCTGACACACATACATGAGACCAAATGGGCCGAACCATCCCCTTCAATGGAACTTATCTTGAGAGGGAGAGAGGGAGGGAGGGAGGGAGGGGAAGAGGGAGAGAGGGAGAGAGAGAGGGAGTTGGGTTTTGCACGGCACAAGGTTAAGATGAGTTTCTAACACGATAATGTATGAAAGTAACGGAAAATTGTGAATGGCACATGTTACTTCCTGAAAAGGCTAATCCCAATTCTCGATCGCAAATAAAGTATTTTTGTCGAGTCTTAGGACGGAGAGAGAGAGAGAGAAAGAGAGAGAGACCGGCCATATTGTAACGTTAATTTGAGCCTCTATAGCGCGCAGTTATTTCACGCAACAGCTGTCACTGTTCCTGTGAGTAAAGGAAACATTTTTAATCACTGCGTCTAACAGGACTCGGGAGATGTGAGGAGGTTGAAATATTTTTATTAAATTAAAAAAATGATTCGGTCACTCAATCCACGACTGTTTGTGGGACACTGCTGGGCACAATTATTATTACGAAACTCACAGGATTATTATTAAAGGTGGTATTAAAGGCTGGGTGGGAGGGGGGGAGGATGATCAAAAGTGAGGTTGAAAAGATAGGTCTTTCAGGGGGGAACTTAAATTATAATAATAATAATTGCATTTGACACAGCGCCTTATCACGCGATATCTCAAAGCGCTTCACAGGATACACTGTACAGTGAATTGACTGTGTATTTTGTGGGCAAAACGCGACAGCCAATTGCGCACAGCGCAGCGTCCCACAAACAGTCGTGGATTGAGCGACCAAATATATATAAATTTTTTGGAGGGTTTATTACCCCCCGGAAAACCAATCTGCCAATCGACCAACAACCGGGTCCCTGCTCGTTGCTGGGTAAACAACAACAACAACAACAAGATTACATGTGTACAGCGCCTTTCACGTCGGGAGGTTGTCCCAAGGCACTGGACAGAGAACAGCATTTCAGACCCGAGCTGGGGTTGGGGGGGGGGGGGAAAGGGGGCGGCCGATAGCATGGCCGAAGAGGAGGGTCTTGAGGCGAGAGTTGAAGGAGGCTAAGGAGGGGGCGAGGCGGAGTGATGGGGGATGGAATTCCAGAGATTGGGATTAAACAAAGGCGTGTGGAGTAAGGAAACTTGCCTCAGGTTTCGCTCCGCCCGGGAATCAAACCCAGTGAAATCTAAACTTATAAAAACGTGTACATTTTTTTAAGATTCAGATTTACTGTTTCCGATGACTGTTTGCGCTAACATAGACCTCGTCTGCGTTGCTGTGTCCTACGCTGAGATTCTGTGCTTCCCCTGACCTCACTTGTTTTGTGTCTGTGCTCACAGCCAAGGTCACAATGATCAATAACTCGCTGCGTCACAGTGTGCCGATACTATTGATCGCCTTGGCCACACTCTGCCGGTGAACGGCAGTGACTGTTCACACGGCGAGTGGTTGGAACCATCCGAGATGAGCAGGAAATGAACTAATTTCATGTGAGGAACGTGTATGATTTCAGCTGTTACGTGTGACTTAGAGACAGAGGCTGATGGACAGGCAACTGTGAGGAGCCCGATCCCGGGATGCGTGTCTGTGGGACTGTCAGTTGTGATTACACATACGGCAGCAGCTTCCTGACATCAGCCAATTCTGAGATTTATTTCCCAGCCAAGACAACCAGACTGCAATATCAGCGGCACGGCTACGTGTGGTTCAGCTGGTCAGGCTCCAGCTGTTACCCCAGCGCACACTCTGGGCTCTCCCCAAGCCTTGGCTCTCGCCAACCTGCGCCCAATACTCTCCGGAATTAGGTAAACAGGATGTGTCCCTCCAGGGAGAGAGAGAGAGAGAGAGAGAGCGCATTCCATTCCAACCATCTCTCTCCAGGATTTCCAAGTGTAGATGGGAGGCCTGGAATTCTCAGTTGGGTTTGGAGACTCTGAAGCAACGGTGATGGGTTTCCGTGTGTATCAGACACCTGGCTGACAATTTTTTTTTATTAACAGTCCCAGTTGCACTAATGATTATAGGAACTATGTTTGTTTTACGTTGTCACATACGTCCGCGTTCAATTTGTAGACCGATATATTTCCTGATCTTCTCCAGTTCCTTATTTGTTACGCTGTAATCACTTGGGATAACCACATCAATAAGACTTATACTATTATTATAATATTCTGTGAAACGCTTTGAGATGTCCTCCTGGTATAGAAGGCGCTGTACTAAATGGAAGTATTATTATTGCTATAATTAATCTTTAGGTCAGGAGGACCTCTGAGCTGGAGGGAGATTACTGTAAACCACCTGCCAACGTTTAACCTGCGGGAGATTCCGAAATGTTTAGTGAGTGAATCAAATGCCTCGAACGGGCATTGAACAACGACAACAACAAATTACACTGAGCTTTTCACATCAGGAAGACATCCCAAGGTGCTGGACAGTCAGGGATTTGGACCCGAGCTGGGGGTTGGGATCAGGAGGGCAGGGAGGGTGGGGGTAGGAGGGTGACAGAATTCGTGGTCGAAGAGGGGGTCTTGAGACAGACCTTGAAGGAGGCGAGGGAGTGAGGGGGGCAGAGGGGCTGCGGGATGGAGTTCTAAAGGGTGCAGGCTGACTGGGCGGGAGACATGGAGCAGGCCACTGAGCGGAGGGAGTGGACAAGTGTATATCAAGTTAAGCAAAGGCACTGAAGGCAAACGGGAGGCGTTTCTGATAGCAATGAGGAAAATAAGCAATTTTCTTCTGAAGCAGAGAAAAGGTACTGTGGGGAATAAAACAACACAATAGATTTAAAATTCTCCTTTCTTGTCACTGCAAGGTTGAAGAAGACAGATTTAGGAGCCAGCGAGTGAGGGATATGGATAGATTTATCCCGGGGGAATTGCCGTAAATATTCCCAGTGAAAAACAAGCAACAACCGAGGCAGACAGCACCTGTTCATTCCAACTGGACACCAGGAACATTAATCTCTGAGGAGAGGAAGGCGGTTTATAAAAGGAATTAATAATAACCATTGCGTTTGATGCAGGATCCTTTACATCCTGTAGCTCAGTGGTTCGTGTGCTCGCCTCACAAGCCAGAGGACCCGGGTTCGATCCCCGGGCAGGGCAAAAGCTTAGGCAAGTTTCCTTCCTCCACACACCTCTGTTTATCCAGCAGTCAGTGGGAACCCGGTTGTTAGTCGATTGACGGATGGCTTTTCGGGGGTAATAATCCCTTCAATGGTAAAAATTTCAAAAAAATAATAATTTGGTCACTCAATCCACGACTGTTTGTACGAACACTGCCGGTTGGAGTGGGCTGCCGCGTTTCGCCCTCAAAATACACAGTCACTACACCTTACAGTGTATTCTGCTGCTGGGTTCACCTACAAAAATCGCACAGTCACTACTCCCACCGGACAGTAAATCCTGTGAAGGGCAGTGACGGTGGATTAAACACAACGATTATAATTTCACGTGGGATGGATGTCTCGCAGCGCTCAACAAAGGCAGAGAAACGTAAGCTTAAACCACATCTCGATTTGTGTGCTTAGGCCAACAGCAGACGCTGACGTTATTTCCTCCCCAGTGAAGCTCCCTTCCTCAGTTCCGTCTCTGAAAGAGTTATTGCACAAGAAAGCAATTTTTTATTGTTAACAGACTGGCTCGGGCTGCACATCGGAAGCCCAATTAATCTCGTACGCATCTCTGCAATGACTCCAAGCATCAAACCTCTATCACAGACCCGACTCTTCACACAACTGGTGTGTCCTCTCCCGAAGGCTGTTATCATCCAAAGCCGTTACAGGAAAAGTCGTATTATTGAGATCGTGGCTGGAGAATTGAGTCATCACAATTGTGCTGTGTGCACATCCGCATTGCAGGGACATCTCAAAGTGCTTCGAAAGATTATTATTAAGATTATTATTGAGATTAATATTAAGCTTTCCCGGGGTAATAACAATTTGTCATTTGATCCACGATTGCTTGTGGGACACCTGCTGTGCGCAATTGGCTGCCGTGTTTCGCCCACAGAATACACAGTCACTACACTTTTTCAGTGTATCCTGTGAAGCGCTTTGAGACATCTCGGTTGGGTGGATATTCTGGAAGGATGAGATCAAATGGGCCCATTGTTGTTATTATTATTATTATTATTATTATTATCAAATACGCGATAAGGCACTTTATCAAATGCAAAGATTATCATTAGTACTTGTATTAAAAAGACACTGCGATTTCTACAACCCAGTAAGAGTCCTATAGCTCAGTGGTTAGAGCACTCGCCTCGCAAGCAAGAGAGGTTCGATTCCCAGCAGGGCAAACCTTGGGCAAGTTTCCTTACTCCTCACGCGCGCCTGAT